CAGCCCCGCCCCCTGGTGGGCTGAGCTGGCCACACACACACACACACACACACACACACACACACACAATAAATAAATAAATAAATAAATAAATAAAGTAAGCTGGGTTTGGGATAGTTTAATGAATGGTAAGCTCTTGCCTGATATATGCAAGGCTCTGGGTGTTTGAAGTTTAGGGTTGTCTGGAAGTAAACATTAAAATGATCATCTGTTTTCTTGCCCTGCAAGCCAAGGGTTATTTAAATTTTAATGAATTTGTCTGGAATCAATGAATTTTACTTGTTGGTTCTTGGGTCAGTGAGCTGAAATTTTTGTAATTTTTCTTTGTAAAGGTATGGCGTGATCAGAGAATATTCAGAATAACACTTTGCCTTTGTTTGATTTTTCTTTCAGCTAGTGTATACTGCAAAATGTTAGGCGAAGAAGGAGGATTGCCACTTTTGTGTAATATCCAGGCACACCATCAGACAAATCCACAGGTTCAGCAGATGGCGGTTTCCTTTCTGGAGGACTTCAGGATGTATTTCACCACCTACAGGAAACACACTGTGTGTTGAGTGCACTTCCTGAACCTAAGAGGCCCTGGAGATGTGCCCTGTTCCCCAGCAGCAGGCCCCTGGGTGTTGAAGCCAGGTGTTGGAGCTTGTGAGTTGGCTGTCTCATTGGCCTTTTTTAAAAAAAATTTTTTTGTTGTTGTTAAGTTATGAAAGGGGTGTATTTGTATGCTAGCCATTACCTCAGGTCAAGGTGAAATCCTTTTGGGGACCCTCCCTCAGCAGCAGTTTGTAAAAAGTCAAACCACAGACTTGGAGAAGACCTGGGAGCTTGTGTTGAAAGAGCTGAGCTAGTTTTCTCTGGCCTTGGACGGTTTCTCTGTGTGGGGAGCTTGTCAGATGGATAGGACTTGTGAACCCAGAAGAGGAACCAAAGACCTACCAGAAAATCTTGCTGGTTGTTAAATTTCCTCAGTTCCTGGATAAAAGAAACTACCAGAAAAGAAATATATTGAGAAAATATACTTGTAGATTTTGTTTGGAAGGCAAAACTTGTGTTGGAAAATAAAGGTATTTTTTTACAGATACCAAATATTTTTCATTTGAGAGGTAGAGGGGAAATGTTTAATATAGTTTTATTATTATTTTTTTATTTTTTTAAAATTTTTTATTTTTTATTTGTGTGTGTGTGTGTGTGTGTGTGTCTGTGTGTGTGTGTGTCTGTGTCTGTGTGGCCAGCTCAGCCCACCAGGGGGCCGGCTGGCTGGCATGTGGTGCTGGGGGATTGAACCGCGGTCCCTGTAGCTTTGCTAAGCTTGTTCTAAGTAGGTGCTTTAGACCACTGAGCCATCTCACCAGCCCCATATAGTTTTAATATTCTATCTGTATTCTTTCTTCTGCAGCTTGACTAATTAGACCAAGTGAATGGGATATGGAACAGTAGAGGGAAGGTTATATAGATTATAAGTCTTCTTGCCTCATGATTTGCTGTAATTTGGGGCCATATGACCCAATCAGGAGGAAGAGGATAGTCCAAAAAGCTGCCAAATATTTTAAGGGGCACTTTGCCCAGTATGGAGGAAAAAAGGAGTAACTTCTCAAGGAACCAGTCTCAACTAAAAAATAAACTTGTCAGATGCTTTAAGGACCTGAAAGTAAAGTCCCAATTGATTATTAGCATGTTGAAAGATTAGTCTTTTGTTTTTAGCTGGCTTGGTCCAGATTCTTATTTATTTTGAGATAAAGTGTCACTCTAACCCAGGCTGCGCTCAAAACTTGTAACCCTCCTGCCTCAGCTTCCCAAATGCTGGAATTACTGGCACACATGGCTATACCAAACTGGTCCTTAACTAGAGTATCATGTGCGATCTTTGGGAATCAAATGAGGAAGAAACTCACTCTTAGTTATATTCTAAATGGTGTTCTAGACTATTTGTAACCAAGTCTTTCCATACTCCATAAACTAAACTTTATTGGCTCACATTCACTTTCCTTTGTGATTCTAAAAAGTTTCCTGACCTGGATTCCAGAATTGGAAGCACATTGCATTACCGGATACTAACTTGTGCTGATGCAAGGATGTGTTGCAGGAACTAGTGTCTGCTGCACCCCGGCTCTATAGCAAGTTTTCCTGCAGTTTATCTGGTTCGTAACTGTGCACTGAGATTTTATTCTCCCCACCTAACAGATGAGAAAAAAGAAATCCAGTAAGATTGACTTTCTAGGGAGGTCACTGGCGAGGATGCACCGTGTAAGGCCTGGACTCCTGTCTTTCCTCCTTTCCACCATACGTGTGTGATCTGAGTATACTCAGTGTCAGCACACCAGCCCATTACTGGTGTGTGTCTGTGCCTGTGCCCAGGACACTCAGCCCGAGCTTATATGCAGCCAAGGGATGACCATAGCAGTCTTGGTAGAGACAAGTCTCTCGAGACTAGCATAGATTTATGAATACTAGGCTTCCCCTGTTGTTAATTATCTTCAGTACATTACCCCCTTGTTCACCTTTGCTCACACCAGTCCATCAACTTTCTTCTTCTAGTCTTCCAGGCAGGCTGAGTTCAAGTGTTGTCCACTCATTTCCCAAACCCTTCTCTTCATTAAAATTAATCACTCTTAGCTGGGTGTGATGGTGTGCACCTGCAATCCCAGGTACTTAGAAGGTTGAGGCAGAATTGCAGCTTCAAGCTTAGCCTGAGTAACTTAGACCATGTCTCAAAATACAGAGGGCTGGGCTGTAGCTCAGTGCAAAGGGTCTGGGTTCAATCCCCAGTGCTGGAAAGAAAAGTGCTTTCTTTGTACTCCTGCAGGCCAGTGAACATCTTACTGCCCTCTACAGTTTATATAAAGTTTTCACAGTGATATCCTTTGATTCTCATGGGACACTGGAGGTTAACAGTTACAACATGTTTATTGAATGTGAGGGTTTTAAAAATCTTCACAGCAGATTCATTGAGCATATAACAAAGGTGAAGCCTAAGAAGTTAACCATTTTTCCAAAGTTATACAGCAGGTACTAGGATGCTGAGGTCCAAGTCCTGACACAGGCTCAACCAGTACTCAGACTGATTGAATCTCTCCTTTCCAAAGGAAGAGACAAGGAGCTTTTTACAACCTCTTGCTGGCACTCGTATAAAGCATGCTGGTGATGAGGCCGAGGCCAAGGCCTGAGTGCCACCCATACAGACAGAGGGCTCCACCTGAAACTGTAGTTTGTCATTTGGGTAGGGAGAACCAAGCATTCTGCAAGGCAAAGCAATGCCAGTGATTGTCTAGGTAGGGTGAGGAGCAAGGAAGGCAGCTGTACGTGGGGTGGTCAGCATCTTGGTACAAGGCCATCCATTTTGTATCCATCGCCTTCCATGTGAAGAAACTAAAGGCCAGCAAGGTACCGTGATGAGGCAGTACTGCTACAGCTCCTTTGGGGTGCAGCTCTTGTGCATGAGGTCACTTGCCCACGAACTTTGGGGGTCGCTTCTCCCTAAAGGCTGCCATGCCCTCCAGCCGGTCCTGAGTTGGGATGTTCTGCAACAATGCATCAGGAACAAGTAAGAGGTGGAGGGGGAATGCCACTCTGCTCCAGCCTGCCAAGCCCTGGCCTCTCCTTGCACCGTTTTGCCTCCAGGGGGCATGTGTTCTGCAGGAGCTGGCTAGGTTCCTGCTCAATACAGCCCAGACTACAGCAAGAAGCAGCTTTGACTTCATCTACATAGTTGGTTCTCACTGTCTACTGGTCCCAAGATCCTTACTGAGTGTTTGGGATATTTATTATCCTTGGGATTAGTATGTTTTTACTCACTAAGTATTGGGACAGCCTCAGGTTTGCAATCACTTGGTTGGGTACAGTCTGTAGCTGGTACTCAGGCCTTGCCCACCTGTTGCCCAGCCCTGCAAGTGCTGCCTGGCAGGGATAGTGTAAACTGTTGTCAAATACTTGTCAGCTTTCCTGAGTCACTAAGTGGAGAAGGATGAGCCACTGTTTGGTAGTTGAGGAAACAGTTCCAGAGGAACCCTGTGTTCCTCAGCCACTCCAGGTTAATTATGAGAGGGTGGCACAATCTAGCTCCAGGTTGAGAGGAGCCTTCCCAGTAGGTTGTGCACTGCTGATGAGTGGGCAGGGGCTGGCAGCAACTACATACCTGGGCATAGCACATCCCTTCAATGGCCATCCCTGATGCAATGTCCACCTACAAAAGGAAGCACTTGCTGGTTCAGCGAAAACTGTACCCGGCCCCATCTCTGTAAGCCGCCTCCCGCGTGGCAAGCAACACCATATGTGACAGCATTGGGAGAGTGGGGAGGGCTGCTGCCCCTGTGGGCAGAGCAGCTGGTTTGCTCTAGACAGGAAGTGGGGAGCACACTGCAGGCTCAAGCCCATGTCTCTCCCTCCCTACGCCTTTGCCACTCCCAGTAGTTGTTAGCTGCAGACCTTTGGGGGCCTGGTATTTTCTCCAGCCTCTGGTGCCAGTACTGTAGGTATAAATTCAGTTTCATGGTGAGGGTCATGAGCCTTGTTAACTGGCTGAGAAAGTTTAACAGCCGCCTGTGGTCCTCATGGGGGCTCAGCTCATCTGCCTTATCTTCTTCCTGTCAGGAGTTTGCGTGTGTCTCTTCTTTCCCACTGTGAAGGGCACTCTGTCTTAGTTCCCAGCGCAGGTGCAGAGTCAGCATGTGAAGAGTGAATTAATGTTCTTGGGCAGATAGCTGCACATGGCATACCTCAAGCCCTGTGCCTGAGGCCAGCACAAGCTGGAGGGCCACCTGGGAGCCACACAGATGCCGTTCCTTCTGCTCATTCCTTGTAGGCAGGTCATTTGCTCTTTCTGAGCCTCACTTTCCTCCTCTGCACAGTGCAGGGAAGAAGACAAAATGTCACTGGGAATGTCTGGCCAAATTTACCACTTTGTAGATGAGTAAACTGAGGCACAAAGTGAGAGGCCAGACTTGAAACCTGTGGATGAGGAAACTGAAACCTGATTTTGAGGGTTTTTTTCCCCATTTGTGCTGTCCAAGAGCCAGGAAAAACATACACCCAGCAACTGCTGCCTTTAGGGGAATCCAGGTCCCAAGTCAGGAGACTCACCTCCATTCCTCGGTCGATGGCTACTTTGCCCAGCCGCACAGCAATGGGGGCCTGGGGAAAAGAGCCAAAGCTAAGGTTTGCACTGGAGAGAAGCACAGCTTTGTTGAACTGAGTTCTGATACCAGTACTGTGGTACTTTGTATTTCCTAAACTTAACCCTCCTGCCTATTAGGCGCAGCTGCTTTTTCTGTAGTAAAGGCAGCAGACTCTGACCCTGACCCTCCTGGTCCTCAGTAGCTGGAGCTCTTGTCATTCACCCTATCCTTCCATTGCTCACCATGCCTCTTGGCTGTTCGAGCACTTCCACAGCATGGTGCTGCTTGCCTTCCAGGTACCCACATTAGATGTAAAACTGAGCTCAAGGGGTAAAGAGCTTGGCTTCCTTCTTTGTAACCTTTCTACTGCTGTTTTGTTCTTTTTCTCTCATCTGCATCTCAGCAAATGCAAGCCTCTACTGATGTGAGTTTTTATGTTTACTGTGTCATCCTTTTTTCTTTTCTTTGTATTTTAGGACAAGGTCCATAGGGTCTCACTGTATAGACTGGATTTGTAGTGATCCTCCTGTTTACAGCCTCCCAAGAGCTAGGATTACAGGCATGTGCCACCACGCCCAATCTCACTCAACATCTCAGCACACCCTGGGGGCGGGGCCAGCACGGCATGCCCAGGGATCGAACCCCCCGGCCCCTGTGTCAGCCTAAGCAGGCGCTTTAATCCGCTGAGCTATTTGGCCGGTGTCGTTTTTATGCTTCTGTTGTTTGAAACTTGCCATGAACATATACATATAAAATGTATGCCATGTTATTTAAGTACTCAAATAGATTTTTCTACCTAAAAAGTATGTATGTGAACATATTTATCTACATAGAGACAAATATATTTTAAAAAGAATTATTAGAAACATTATTTTGAAATGATATGGCTCACCCTAGACAGTATGTTCCATTCCTTTGGTGTTCAAATAGAATACATAGCCAGACTATTCAGTGGCTCATGCACATTTACTATTTGAGAGAGAAATCTGATTTGATATATGGACCTCCTATATTCCCATAAACTATTGGTAGTTTTTTTCTGGACTAAGTGCCCTTTTTAGTACTTTGTTTTTTGTCCAGTAGGTGGCAGCCGTGTGTCACTCCAAGCCTAACACAAGAAGGTCCCAGCTGTGAGATTAGTAGTTGTAGTTCCTAATTAGCAGAAGACTGACATTTTGGTACATGATCTCCTTTTAAATACTGAAATAACACACTGTAATTGTATTAGTTGAATACCATTACCCTGGAATATTTGGAAATGTAAATCATCTTGAGATTCTGTTACAGTTTATATCAAAAGGCAAACTGTACCCAGTCTCCAGGTGCAGCTAGATGCTCCCCAGGGAAGCTGCAGTCTGCCACTCCCTCAAGCCATCCTGGCTTGTGCAAGCCTTCGGTGGCTCCAGACACGAAACCCAAGGGCTTCAAGACTGCTGGATAAGGACATTAAGTCTATTTACATACAGTGACCCCAATCATCCTGCCCCAAGAGAACATCTCAGTTTCAGAGCTTTATTATCCCTCTCTTTTCATTACTAGGGATTAAACCACAGGAATGTACTGAGCCACAGGTCTGATGTTTGTTTAAATTTTTCTTTTCAGAAGGATGTCCCTAAATTGGCTTGGCTGACTTGAACTTACCAGTCTACCTCAGCCTCCCAGGAGGCTGGAATCCCAGGCATGTGCCACCAGCCCAGTTACTTATTTTTATGCTTAATTCAAGATGCATTTTCTTGGAGGCATGGATGGCCCATCTTTGTGTGGAAGGGTACATGGCTTTTCCTACTTTGATTTGGCTCGTACTTGCTCTGCAAAGCCCATTTCTTTTCCTATTTTTGTTACTGTCTGTGCTTGTCTTGAACAATTCTTTGTTCAGGGCAGAAAAAAAACCGAAAAACCACATCAGGAGACATTCGTACCCCCAAACTTGGTAACACTTCTTCCTTTGTTGGCTCTCTGCTTTTCACTGCCACATCATAAACTGTTTCACCTCTGTGATACCCCTCTACCATGTGCCACCTGCCTTGGAGCCAGCCAACTAGACTGCAGCTTCATACTGTGAGCTAAGTAAACCTCTCCTTTAAAAAAAAAAAAAAATACAACCATGGTCTGGGGAGATAGCTCAGTAGAATAAGCGCATGCCTGCCAAGCTCAGGGTCCTGAGTTCAACCCCTAGTACCAAAAAATAAATAAATAAAAATAGAAAATAAAATAAAAAATTTAACAAATACTTACTTGTTTGGTACAGGGTTCTTGCTATACAACTTAGACTTGTGATCCTCCTGTCTCAGCCTCCCCAGCTTTGGAATTACAGGTGTGCACTACCACTATTGGTTTCAGTGGCCAGCCTGACACAGGACCAGCACAGCATGCAATACCGAGGATCAAACCCAGGCCCTTGTGCTGGAGGCACTTAGACTGCCGAACCGTCTCCCTTGCCCCCCAAAATACAATCTTAATATTAAAATGGTGTATGTTTTTAACTTTTATACTTAATTTGTGTGGTTTTATAATGTGTCTATAATTCTTTTTGTATTTGAAATATACTATAAATCTGGTATAGGGCTACATGCCTATAATCCCAGTACTTTAGGAGGCTGAAGCAGGAGGATAGCAAGCTCAGGCCCAGACTGGGCAACTGAATAATTTATTGAGACCCTTGTCTCAAGCACAAAGGCTAGAGTTGTAGTTCAGTTGGAAGGCCCTGGCTTCGATTCCTAGAACTTAAAAATAAAGTATTATATATGTGATTTCAAAGTTTTAAAATATTTTTAGCAAAGTATAGTGGTATACACCTGTTAACCCCAGCACTTAGGAGACTGAGGCAGAAGGATCACCATGAGTGTAAGAACAGCCTGGGCTACATGAATTCAAAGCCAGGCAGAACTACATAAGAATACTATCTCAAAAAAAAGTATTCTACACTTTCAAAGACAGCAGTTTTATGCCTATGTAATCCCAGCACTAGGAGGCTGAGGCAGGAGGATTGGTGGGAGTTTGAGACCAGCGTAGGCAAAAAAATGAGCTTAAGGCCAGCCTGATCTAAATAGCAAGACCCTGTCTCAAAAAAAGGACAGCAGTTTCTATATTGTACTCTGTTGTGCAAGATAAATCCCCAAGTACCAGTGTTATCCATTACTCTTTCTGGTGTTGCAGTAACTTTTCCTTTTGTGATCTTGATAAGCAAGTCTTAATTTTTGGCTCTGTCTTCTCACAAAACGATCTTCAGCTCAGCTGCCTCAAGCCAGTAACTGAGGCACACTTACACTGTCTGACACAGAGGAAGTACTTGGTATGGGCACAGTCAAGATTTATTACAAATCAGTCAGCCCTAACTCCATTTCATGTAGTTTTCTATCTTTACAGAAACTTGAGACCTCCCCAACCCTCAGCCCTTCCCTGCTCTGTTTCCCCTAGTGAAAGGCAGCAGAGCTCCTCAGGTCCTTGGAGAAGATCCTGGTATCCCAGGGACTTTGGGCTCTGCAGCTCAGACTTGCTCCTGGGCAGTATCTCCTAATCTGTTCTCTAGGGAACAGCCCCTCCCCCATACAAACAAGTCTCATTCTAGTCCAGTTGGCCTTGAACTGACTGTATAGCTCAGGCTGGCCTGAAACTCAGGGTGTCCTGCCTCAGCCTCCAGAGTGCTAGGATTACAGGTATGCATAACCATGCCTGCGGGTCATAGAGACCAATTCTAAACATTCAGGGAAACTATCCCCAGAAACTATTAGCTGTTCTGTTGTTGCTTTTGGTGGCACTGGGGATTAAACCTAAAGCTTCACACTTGATAGGCAAGCACTCTATTGCTAGGTTATATCCCAAGCCCCTTGAGAATTTTAAAAATTAGTCTTTGACACATATCCTGCAAGATGTTTGAAGAAACTCTCCTCTGTGCAGTGAGAAAGAAAAATGGGCTAGTCGTTGTCCACTTTAGGGTCTCGCCTTTTTTGTCTTTAGGGATATTTAAGGGCTACGCTGTACACTATGGCTGCTGCTAGCCACATGTGGCCGTTAATGGCATTTGAGAGGTAATAAGTGAGGAGCTCATTTTTACCTAATGTACCTAACTGAAGTGGCCCTGTGCCACACTAGACAACAGAGAGGGATGGCGCCATTGCGTCAGAAAATTACTGGACAAAGCTATGGGGCTTCAAGCCCACTGGCTTCTACCCTTCAGAATTCAATTTTTACCGCAAGACCAACATTTGCTTTGGTTTTGTTCACCAGACAGCTCAATAGCTGCCGCCCACAGGTCCTCCCTCACGTGCTGCCTGGCACACCTGGGGCAGGATCTCTTGGGCCAGGGCTCGCGCTCGGTGGTAGGCGGCATTGCCCTCCTCACTCTGCTCCACGCTGTGATTCACCAGCCCCAGGGTGTGGGCCTGCACCCCAGTCAGCCGCCGTCCAGTGAAGATAAGCTCCTTTGCAAGGGCCACCCCCAGGCAGCGGGGCAGCCTCTGAGTCCCTCCTGTCGTGATTGAAGGTAAGGGGTGGTTAGATCAGGCTGAGGAGGGATCCTGAGAAGGCCAAGGTGGGATGTCCAGGGCTTCTCAGGGCTGCAAGCAAAGCCCAGCAACAGGGGCCCAAAGGAGGGGATCTTGGAAGGAGCAGAACTGGGCAGGTAGGGAAGGGCAGGGCCTGGGGGACCTTACCTGCCCCCGGAAGCAGCCCTCGAGTGGTCTCTATCAGCCCCATGACAGCTGTGGAAGCTATTTAAACAGGAACAGTGAATTCCTCCCCACCTCGTACACCATGGCTTATCCTGGTGGATGGGAACCCACCCACCTCTACTTCCCAGGCTCCCCACATTCTGCCTGTGAGAGCCCCAGTCTGGCCATCAGGAGGCTCAGGCCTCACTGGTGGAATCCCCCGTCTGAGCCTCAGAGTGGCCAAAAGGTGGCAGCCCTGTTCTGCCCTCAGGGTAGTGAATCTAATGACCAGATAGTACCCAAACGAGGAAGGGGCACCCAGAAGGTGCCTGACACCGTTGGAGGGTTAATGGACTGTCTCGTGCACCTGGACCTGTGGCCCGGCTTGAGTGTCCACAGCTCCTGCTTCCACCTTAGAACACCTCTGCACTTTTTGCCCCTGCCTACATTTCCTGATGGTTCCAGTCTATATCCTCTTCTCGCTCATCCTCAGAAGTTTTCCTTGACTACTCTCAGCCTCTCCTGAGTTTCCTCAGCATAGGACACTGGCCAGTGTGGTTCAGGCAAAGGAGTGGCTGTGCTGCTGTTTCTGCAGCTCTGCACTCACAATTCTCACCAAGAGCCCACAAGTTAGAGGCCTGTGACCTACTGGCCAGGAGGTGCAGACCAGGGTGATGGCCTGACCTAGCACATTCCTTCCTTTTTTGATCTCAGGACCCTGCACTTGCCAGGCAAGCACTTACCCTACTGAGCTATCTCTCCTGCCAGCACATTCCTTGACGAGCATTCCAGTACCATTCCTGGATTGACAGTGAAAGCATGGGGGAGTGGGCACCCCAGGGGTGCTCAGAATGTTTAGCTGCCACCGAGACAACCCCCAAGAAAACGACCTTGCAGGGGATCAGTTCTCTGCCAGCCTTGGTGGTGCCTGTGCACTGGAGGGCAAAAGCCTGGTGGGTCCACAGGCATCCACAGGCTCCCCTCTGCTCAGTCCTTGGCCAGAATGGAGGCTGAGCATAGCCCTCTGGCCTCGGCTCCTTCTCCCTGCCTTTCTGCTCTCCTGTCAGTGTCACTGGGCTGGAGTGACCATTCCCAAGGTGAAGGGAGCCCTCTTGTAGGGAATGGGCTCCAGAGCAGTGGGTGGCAAAGCTGCCTTGCTTGTGCTCCCTCTGTATCTCCTACTCTTGCCTCAGTTTACCTCTTGGCTGGAAGGCCCCTCTGCTTGTCCTGCTTTACTCGCCCTCCCCTGCTCCCGCCACTTGTGCACAAGCAGTACCTGCTACTCGGAGGTCACAGGCCAGGGCCAGCTCCAGGCCTCCGCCCAAGGCAAAGCCATCCATAGCTGCAATGGTGGGTGTGGGGAAGGCTGCTGTAGGATGAAGAGGGCAGGATCAGGACACAGACTTCAGCTGGCAGAACAGAGGGTCCCAGGTTGGGCCCTTACTGGCCCCTATGCCAGATTATCTCAGCAGTTGGTTTTTGTACCAGGGAAGGTTCTGGGGTCTTTGGGGATGGGAGTGGGGGTAGGCTGCAGTCTAACCCACTCCTGCTGGCTTCCCTGGGACCCGCTGTGTGTGTGCCAAGCCTCACCCTGGCACTGGGAACCGAGACCTAAATAGGATCTGGCCTTGCTCTTGTGAGCTTGGGCTAGTGGAGAAGGCAAGTGTGTAATCAGGCAAAACTTTGGGAACTTAGTGCTCCCATGAAAGGAAGCTTGGAGGATGTTGAGAGGGCTTACTGAAGGAAGCATTGCAGGTCTTGAAGGGTGAGTGAAAACTGAGGCAGCCAAGAAGGGATGTTCCACACGAAGGGAACAGCAACTGTTGAAGCCCAAAGCATGTTTGGTGAGCTTGAATCCTGGAATAGCTGGGACTGGACTGTAGGACTGGCGGGGGGAGTCACTGTAGTGGGGGACAGGGGCTAAACAGCCAGGTCCTCCCTGGTACAAATGTTCTCTGCATCCTCTTGTCCACTCTTCTTTTTTTTTTTTAATTTTATTTATTTGTGTGTGTGTGTGTGTGTGTGTGTGTGTGTGTGTGTGTGTGTGGCCAGCTCAGCCCACCAGGGGGCGGGGCTGGCTGGCATGTGGTGCTGGGGGATTGAACAGCGGTCCCTGTGCTTTGCTAAGCTTGCTCTAAGTAGGTGCTTTAGACCACTGAGCCATCTCACCAGCCCCTCCACTCTTCTTTATAGAATGCCGTGTGCCCATCCCTGTGTCTCCCACAGGGCTCAAAGCAGAATATGCTCTTTGGAGTAGGGAGGGGCTGGTGCCAGCAAGGGACACTCTCCTCCCCCATACCCTCTGCTCTCCTCAGACCCTTACCAATCTCATTCATCAGGCCTCGGAGTCGCTGGACAAAGACCCCCACCTCTGCTGCACTCATCTGCTCCCGCTCCTTCAGGTCCGCACCTGCAGGTGGTGAAGGATTGGTGCCCACACTTAGGGGCAAGGCCTGGTCCTGAATCCCCAGGGACTGGAGATCTAGCAAAGGAGACTGGAGGAGAAACAGCTAAAGAGGAGGAGAAATGTGAAAAAATGTCAGAGGAAGAGCATCAAAAAAGAGTAGCTGCCACAGCAAAAGGACAAAACTTCATTGGACACAAGAATGAAAAAGACAACCTATAGAAACAATGGGACAAGGGTGTGTGTGTGTGTGTGTGTGTGTGTGTGTGTGTAGGGTTTGCAGGGTGTTCAGGGTCTTACTACACAGATCGGACTTGTAGTGATCCTCCTGTATTCAGCCTCCCAAGTGCTGGGATTAGAGGCACACAGCACCACGTCCAGTCTCAATCACTGTCTCAGCGCACCCAAGGGGCGGGGATGGCACAGCACAGCACACGGTATGGAACCCCCAGCCACTGCACACTGTCTGAACAGGCGCTTTAGTCTGCTGAGCTATCTGGCTGGCCCTAGAGTTTGCAATTACAAACCCTAAGGATTAGCATTGGAGTTTGGAGTAAATCACTTGCCTGGCAGGTATTAGGCCCTGGAGTCAACCCCCAGAACAGCAAAAAACAAAACAAAAAAGAATCCTTGTCAACAAGGAAACAATCAGTTCAAAGTGGGCAAACTATGTGAAAAGATGTTTTTTTCAGAGAAACCATATAGATGGCCAAGCATGCAAAAAAACCCCTCAACATCAGGCTTCAGGAAAACCCGAATACCACAATGAGATACCATTAGCCATGGGGATGACTATTACTTAAACAAAACAATAAAAAGGGGTGCAGCTCAGTGGCGGGACACCCCTGTGTTCAATCCCAGATCTAAAAACACAAAAGTCGAAGCATGGATTGGAGAAGGCAGAATCCCAGACAGTTGCTATTAAGAATGCTGCTGTGTAGTGAGACCCTGTACCAAATACATACATACATATTTTTAAAAAATTAAAGATGTGGGCTGATGAGATGGCTCAGTGGTCTAAAGCACCTACTTAGAATGAGCTTAGCAAAGCACAGGGACTGTGGTTCAATTCCCCAGCACCACATGCCAGCCAGCCCTGCCCCCTGGTGGGCTGAGCTGGCCACACACACAATAAATAAATAAAAATTAAAGAATGTTCTGGAAAATGGCACAATGGAAAGGGTTTGATGATTGCTCAACAAGTTAAACAAAACTATCAAGAGTCCAGTCCTGAGTATACAACCAAAAAGATTGATGACTGGAACTCAAGATACTTGCAGTGTACTACAGCAAGGATTCTGCAGAATGACCAAAGGTGAAAATGGCCCATGGTCTGTCAGCAGATGGGACCGTGAGGACCAGGCCTTGGCCAGGCTGCCCCCTGTACAGGCACCTCAGGAGTCAAGGCTCAGCCCAGCTGTGCTCTTGACTTTCTCTTTCTTCTGGGCCAGCGTACACTTTTCTCCTGCCCTTGAAGCAGAGGTTCATGGTGTTTGCCCTGTGTGAGGACCAGACAGTACAGGTATGGTTTAAGTTTGGTGACGGACTGGGATTCTATGGGTGCACAAAGGGCACAGAGTTAAATCTTGGCAGAAGACCTTGTAGACATGCTTGGAGTCAGGCTCCTCATTTCCTTAGAGAAGGGCTGGAACAGTGTAGGGGAGCAGAAGGAGCTGGTATGGGGTCAGAGAGGCCAACATCAAATTGAATCTATTCTGTCCTTTACAAGTGTAAGGTTCTAGGCCGTAACTTTACCACCCTGAGTCGTATCTGGAAGATGGGCATAATCCATACTAGGCTGGAGCTGACCTCTTCCCCTCTCTCATCCCTGCAGACCCTGTAGTAGGTCAGGGACAAGGACCCACCTGCACAGAACACACCCTTCACGGCACTTCTGAAGAGCAGGACGCGCACATGTGGGTCCTCCCGCAGCCGGGCCAGGGCATCCTGCAGCTGTGGAGGTCATGCTGTCAGACCCTACCAGCCCAGCCTCAGTCCCAGCCCCATGATGTCCCCTTTCTTACCTCACTCACAAAGACGTAGCCCAAGGCATTGCGAGCCTCAGGTCTGTTCATCACAATCTCCGTGATTCCTGTAGGGGAGGTATCAGCCTAGGGTGAGAGGCTGGCCCTGCTCACCCCAGACTGGGCACAGAGATGGGAGGAGGAGTGTGACTTAGAGCAATCACACACCAGACCCTCAGTTTTTCCACCCCAAAAGTGGAAAGAACAACCTTTCCTCTTGCTTTACTGAGGAAGTAGGAGAGCTCCTGTAAAGCATGGAGTAAAATAGGAAGAGGAGCAAGAATTAGCTCTGTAGTAGCCCCGCTGGCTCCTTCGGCTTCGGCTTCGTTAGACACGCACACACATGCCCACAGGCACAGGCACACACCTTCCAGGTCACAGCTTCCTCTGTGTTACTCTTTCCTTCACACCGAACCTCTACCTCTAGAGTTGAAGTTAAGATAAGGCAAATACCCTTGCAACTCCTCCCCCCAACCAAGAAATGGAACTGTGCCAAGAGAACTTGCTTCAGAAATGCACTGTGTGCCGGACCCATTGTATCTTCCTCCTTTCTGCAGAGTAACTCTTCTGACTTTTGTGTAATCACTTCCATGTATTTCTTGTTTTTTTTTTTGTTTGTTTGTTTGTTTTTTTCTTCAGTATAGTACTGGGGTTAGAACCTATGGGACTCTACCACTGAGCAACACTCCCACCTTTTCTTATTTTTTATTTGAGATGTGTCATCTTGCTATGTCGCTAAGCTGCTCAGGCTGAGCTTGAACTTGTATCCCTCCTGCCTCAGCCTCCCAGGAAGCTGGGATTACTGCACTAGGCTTTCCATGTATTGCTTTTACCATTTTATCACTCAAGCATGCATCAGTAGACATCATAGTTCAGATGGTAGTTTTTAAAAATTTGACGTGTCCATTAAAAGCCTGTTATGACCCGAGTCTTCATTGGGCCATCCTTCCCTTAAAAGTCATCTGCTGAGGACACAGGAACATTTCTCAAAGTTTAGATGTTGTTGCTTGCATTCATGAGTGTAAAGCAGCCTGCTTCCCTTTCACAAGAAACAGCTAAACCCTGAAGCATGGTCGCTGTTGGCATCTCCTGTCCTGGGTAAGTTTTCTTCTCCTTTCATCACATTCTTAACATCCACTCCTTGAACCTTCTCTGCCCTGGCCTCACCCACGGCCACCAACATAACCACATCACCCACAAAACACGCTCAGGCACAGGCAACCAGTCCAACCTCTTAAACAGGTCTCATATCTCCAATGCAGACACAGAGCAGGCTGCAGGCTTGTTCCTTGGTTCTCCATCTCCCAACTGGGCCTCAAGTCTTCTGCTTGCCTTGTTCTCTCTCACATACACACATCCCTCGGTCTGGGGCAGGGTTTGCTTTCTAATTATGTCCCTCCCTTTCCTTCCCTTTTTCAAAAACTAAAGTCCAGTTTCTCAATGCACCAAGAACTGTGATGTTCAGGCAAGTAAGGCTTCTTAGCCTCCTGGTAACCTGTATCAACCTCTCAGCCCAGCAATCTGGTGGTCGTGCCTCTGACTCAGATGGCCCTGTGGCCCTACCTAGCTCTGGTGCTTCGGGAGAGAAAATGGTAATGGTGCAACACTGGGTAGAACAATTATGGTGGACACAAGTGAGGTCAGAGGCATGAGAAACCTACATCTTGTAAACTTGGAAACAGCTGGAGCAGCAGGCCCTTGGCTGCTTGCCCATACCCTATGCAAGTCCTTCCCCTGAGTAGACAGGGCGTACAAACTGCTTCTGACCAATAGGAAACAGCATATGTCATAAACACCACTTTGAGATCAGGTTAAACTGTACAGAAGGGTGGTAGATGTGACTTTTGTGATCAAGCTGTGATAGACCAGCCTCTGATCAAACTCCAGGGCCTACACAGGCCACATGGTAATTTCTAGGAGCTGAGAAGGACTCTGGGCCAAAAATCTGCAAGAAAATGGGACTTTGCTCCCACAGCCAGCACCAGAAGGTGCTGCTTCCTTTTCTCCTTCCTTCACCGACTTTCCCCCTCCTCCAGGCCTTTTGGCAAGAGTAGAGACTTAATCTGATCATTTTTTTTTCATGTCTATATAAAGTGATCCAAATATTTACCAGGGAGAGAGCTCTATTCTTCCTGACAACTCTGTATTTCCTCATGGACTCATCTATCTAAATCACAGAATACCTCGAAGAATCAGTGATTACCCCATGATTGAGCACCCAGGTTTTGACATCAGACCTGGTTTGGACTGCTTAGCCCTTAGCCCCTCCAGTGTCCCTGCCTGGATGGTACAGCAAACTGTAAAGCTCTCTAGGCAAGTGCTGCTGTGCCAGTGAATCAAACATGAACATGTAGGACACCCTAAGGTCCAGCAGCCCTACCTGTTTGGAGAAATTCTCACCAAGTGATGTGTGACACTGGTGGCCCCTATGTGTTCATTAAAGCGATGGATTGAAGGGCCTGGTAGTGCAGGCCTGTAATCCCAGCACTCTAGGAGGATAAGGCAGGAGGATTGCAAGTTTGAGTCCAGTCTGGGCAATTTAGAGATTAAGCAAGGCTTTGTCTCAAAAAATACAAAAGGGCTGAGGATGCTGCTCAGTGCCAAGGCCCTGGCTCTTCCACAGTGGGGTTAAGGGGAGAGGTGGATGCACGCAGGAAGACTTGCACTATGCAGAGCCATCCATCGTTTGACCTCTGACAAAGTCACCTCAAGTTTGGAGAATTTGCAAATCAGTGCCTCACATGGATGTGTCCACGACCCCCCTGAGGGCTCTTAGGCTTATGATTTGCATGAAAGAAAGCACACAGTCATCTAGGATTTTAGCATAACTTAAGTGCATAAAGTTCTTACAGAGGTTGCCTCCTTGCCTACCTTGTAATCGTGCAAAACAGGACAAGCCTATGCCAAGAATATTCAACAGTAACAGGGAAGTTAGGAGTCAAGATCTCGAGGCAGTGAGAAAGTACCCCCTGGGAGCTGAGTGTTTTGGTGGGACAGAAATAGAACAGAAACAATGATTGATATTCCATGACTACTAGTTTATACTGTGTACTCATATTAATCAAAATTTAAATTGTTTTTCGCTTATAGGTGAAAAACCACATCTGTTAATCTTGCATGAAGAAAATTTATGTAGGGGCTGGTGAGATGGCTCAGTGGTCTAAAGCACCTACTTAGAACAAGCTTAGCGGAGCATGGGGACCGCGGTTCAATCCCCCAGCACCACATGCCAGCCAGCCCCGCCCCCTGGTGGGCTGAGCTGGCCACACACACACACACACACAAATAAATGTTTAAAAAAAAAAAAAGAAAGTTTATGTAGTCACTCATGTATAAATAAAGGCTACTGATTTTGCTCTGGGTTGAAGAGACACATCGTCTTCCCTCCTAACCCCACTGTGTTCCTCTGAGTCTTCTTCGCAGCCTGCTTTGCTCTGTCCTCAGGTGATTGTTCCCTGGAAGCTGAGGCTGGACCTCGGCATTGCACAATGCCTAGAAGCAAGGAATTTGTATGGAAAAGCAGCTCTTCAAACCTCAGCCTTAGCGAACTGGGCTACATTATTCATGTGCACCAACTTCACAGAAAGATTGTAAACAATATGCACTACAGACATGCACTAATTTATGGGGGAAAAGGCATTGGGGCATAAACAGCAAGAAAGACAGTCAAATATACAAAGCAATGCAACTCTGAGAAGAATAACCCGACATCAAAGGACGGAAAAAGGTAAGGGGAGTGGGGGAAGGAAACAAGGGCCTGTGCACCCTGGATCTGCACAGCGGACTGAGGAGGCAGCTGCATGTAGTGGAACGCACCTCACATCCAAAAGCAAAACAAGCGAGCTCCCCCTGCCCCGGAAGCCAACACGAGGCGTGGTCAAAGGTGCCATCTGCCCGCCGCTCAGCCCGGTCCCCTCGGCCATCTCCGCTCAGGAGCCGCTAGAGGACCGACCGACCGGAGACGAGGGTGGAGGCGTCGAGCACTTAATAGGCCACGATCCGGAGCCCCAGAGCACGGTGTCGCCCTAGCTCTGCACCTCGCTCTCTGCGCACCTCAAGGTACGACATGGGAGGGGACAGGAGGAATTCTGCGCAAGCCCACTTGGGGAGGAGCGCCTTGAGGACTAGATCCAGCTGCGGCCCCCAGAAACCTCCCCCGGGCGCACAGGCGAGCGTGAATTCCTGCGGAAGCCCGGGCGAGGAGCCTGCCTGCAGGTCCCGGCCCACCCGGTGCCACTCCAGCCCTTCCTGGGTCGTCCCGGAAAGGGATTTTACCTTGGTCGGACCCCGCCAGGGCGCACACTTGGATCTCGCAGCCCCCGGCAGTCGGGTCCGAAGCGCTGCCGCGGGCCCCCAGGGCCCTCCAGGGGCGTAGGAGGCGCAGTGCGCGCAACAGCGGGGCGCGAGCCGGGAAGGCGCGGAACAGACCCATACCGGCCTCCACTCGGCTGAAAACCTAGTTCCGCGGCGGGCGAGGCCTGGAAAACTGCTCCACCTATGGGCCGAGAGGCCCGCGCAGCTGTCTGCACCCCTTGGGCACCCGCGGCTGAGCCAGGAAGCCCAGCCTCTCCGCGGGCTGGGGGGCAAGGCTTTCAACCTCTCCAAGAGTTAATGTTTTAAGCTGAAGAGCAGGGAGAATAACAGTGACTGCCTCGTGAAGGTGATGTGATGACCGAACGGGATGTGAAGCTCGCTCACACAGATGCGCAATAAATGGCATTTCATTTAAGACACGGCCATTTCAGGCGGGGCATGGTGGCTCATATATGCCTGTAATCCCACCACTTGGGAGGCTGAAGCAGGAGGGTCATTGCGAGTTCGAAGCCAGTCTGGGCTACAAAGTGAGCTCAAGGCCAGCCTAAACTGCATAGTGAGACCCTGTCTCAACAAGGCACAAAAGTATGAGTTTGTGGGCACGCTTGTAATCCCAGCACTCGGCGAGACTGAGGCAAGAGGACTGTGGTGAATTACAGGCCAGCCTGGGCAACGTCAGCGAATTCAAGGACACCCTCAACTGCACAGCAATTCCTGTCAAAAAAAAAAAAAAAAAAAAAAAAA